ATACTCGAAATTGTTGGGTTTTTTTTTGTAGAGAAAAGATATTTTCAAGGATAGTTTAAAAAGGAGATGCAACAGTAACAGTACATCGTCCACCGGCACAATATACTACCTTGATATGCTGTACTAAAACTTTGTACTGGTCTAAACGTGTATATAGAGACTAATGACGAACGTATGATAGTACTATGGTGGTCTTGGATCGATCTTGATTCTTTTTAGTTTGTACCCTCTACTTCAAAAAGTTTTTTTTTCAAGAATCATGAAGAGTTCGATATGTTGATTATTATTAGTGAATGAGAGTTGTCCAACCGAAAGTAAAGACACATTTAGTTGAGTAAATAAATTGATCGATGAGAAAAGTCGTAAAGCGATCACAATAGCCGAAATAATTATATATATATATATATCTTAAGTGATTGATTATATATCATGAAAATAAAGGTGTTTGCTAGAAAATATCTGTCGCATAACGAACAAGTATAATTTCATTTGGAAGCAGAAATTTGATAATCAAATTGAGTAGCTGAATTTTTCTGACTGCTATCAAGGCTGACCATAACTGTTTCTAGCCAGAAATCGGATACAATTATTGAATTTCTGCTTCTAATCTTCTATCATTTTCCTTAGTTTTTCAATCGAAATCGACTTCATGTTATTCATCTGGAGTCTTTCGTCTGCTGACTGTCGAATGATTATAATTAAAAAATTGTTCTAAAATCTATTGATCGCATTGACAGATGAATTATAAACTGTATTCATCGGTGCTTTCTTTTTTTTGATTTTTCACTCTTAGTTTATAGTCTACTATCTGAAATAATAAAAAGAAAAAACTGATTTTTGTTAAACTCTATTTAGTATAATTCTGACGCTGATTTTTCAATTAAACAAATTAATTTACGTCGATCATTTATTGACCGTCAATTAAATAATGATAAAGCAATGAAAACTCGAGTTTTCTATTGTCCGATTTGTCCACATATATCAACATCAATATTAGAACATGATCATCATCAATCATGTCATCAAGAAAATGCAATAAATTTATATAAATGTAACCATTGTTCATTTTCATCAGACTCTTTATTATATACAGTAAGTTATTATTTCGTTGGTTTCTTTTTGTATTAATTCTATTTTATATTTTATTCATAAAATAGCGTCAACATAATTTATTACATTCAAAATCAAGTCGATTATTATCACTATATATTGATACAAAAAATTTGAAACATCTTTGTAAGTTTTCTTTTTCTTTTTCTTTTTTCGTTTTGAATATTGACATATTTTATTTTTGATATAGCTGTTTCAACAATTTTTCAAGAAACTCTTGGTAAAAATCATCGTTATCATTGTCCATTTTGTAAAAAGTTTTCATCGGGTACATCATCATTAGTTCTTGATCATATTAAAGTATGTTTTATTTAATTGTTTAAGTTTCGTTTTAAATATTTTTTCGATTATTTTAGAATACCCATACAAGTAACAGTAATCAATTTGATGATAGCTTAATAATCGGCTCGGATATGGCCAAAGAAATACTTGGTTTAGGAGGTAAAAGTTTTGACATATAAGAACCGTGCTGAATAAGATGACTATCCTGCATTTGAAAAGGTGCTTGTAATATTTTGTAGAGAAACTTTTGTCGTGTTGAATGGTGTATAGAAAATTGCTTTCTCATCAGTTTTTATGTTCGGAGAGACCATCGATTATAGCGATTGTTCTTCGATATTGCTTCTCAGGATAACAATAACTAATCATAAAACTTTCTTTGAAGTTGTATGACTAGACATCTGCAAAATCAGTTTTTTTGGTCCCGGTCCCGGTCCCGTCCCGGTGAAAAATGTTTTAGTCCCGGTCCCGGTCCCGGTCAAAATTTTTCTTCAGTCCCGGTCCCGACCCAATTTTTTTTTTTGGTCCCGGTCCCGGTCCCGGTCTGGACTCGATGCCAGTTAAAAATTGTATTATGGTGAAAAAATTCCGATTCTTGAAACTGAAACGAGGATCGATAAAAATTTTTATCAGAATTGTAAAGAAAATTGCTGTTTTTTTAGATTTCTGATCACAAAAATAGAAGAAATACTTAAACGCAGAATCGAGTTTCTGATAAAAAATAATACCGGGACTAGCTTGAAAATTTTGGTCCCGGTCCCGGTCCCGGCAAAAGTAAACTTTTAGTCCCGGTCCCGGTAAAAGTCAAAATTTTGGTCCCGGTCCCGGTCCCGGGACCACTTTGCAGATGCCTATGTATGACACCAAACTCTAAGAGTATATCGATTGATTGTTGTTTGAATTAATGTGTTTCATAGTACAAATCGATCACTGAGTGCTTAGAAAGGGCTAATTTCCGGTTCTTAAGGGCAGACAAGTATATGAGTTTTGCTATAAACACTTTCTGAATAAAAAGTTTTCTATCTATTAAAAATAAGCTCATTATACTCTATCATTTGACTTGTGTAGATATTTCAAAACAATATTCCCTATTGGATCCCTAAATGGAGGTACGGGAATGAACTATTACAAAAATTCATTTTTATTTCATTTTGTTTCTCACAAATCAGATGCTACATAATCGGATATGATTACAATAGAGAACTCTCAAGATTTTATTCCATTTTTTAAGCATTCATATATGTCAAATAATGGAGCATGATGAACTTATTATTAATAGAAAGAAATTTTTTCATTTAAAACATATTTCTAGCAAAAGTCATATACTTCTCTGCCTTTAGGAATCAGAAAACTAGCCTTTTTATTAGGCATTAATTTGCCAACTTGACTACGGTGCACATCAATTTAGACAACAATCGATTAGTATACTTACAGAACTTGTTAACTGACAAATTTCTGAAAACGTTGTATAATTGGTCGCCTTTACTCTCGTAAACAATATCGAAGAGTTTGGTACATCATAAAAGTCATAGAAGACGAGACAGAACTCTATTGAAGTCACTTTAAACAATATTTGATATAGGTTGGTTTGAAAGCATACTTAGCCCTAATAGTTACTTATATCATTCACAATTACTATGATAATCCTTAACTTGCATATGGTTTCTTAGGACATAAAACTTGATAAAAAAAAACACGCTTTTCATATATGTCATGCAATGTATTATGAGTTGCTCTACATTACAGTAAAGGTGGCTTTTCAAATGAAAGATGATCATTTCATACGATATTATCTTTTCTATTTATTTGATTATACATGCATATTTTTATATTTAGGCATGGTAACTGATTATCCTCGAATGGATATTAGTTAAATATTCTCCAAGAGAATTTCTTCATGATATATGTTCGTTTGAGAACGAGAAAAACAAAAATAAACTTTAATTTTTTTTTTCTTTTTTGTGTTATGTCAGATGTTTTTTTTTTCTTTTCGTTTTTTTTTTTTGTTCTATTCCATTTCTCCTATTAAACTACAACGATGTATCAATCTTTGTTGATGCAATTGCTGTGTTCTTCTTTTTGTTGATCTTCATAGCGTGATGTTCTGTTTGTGTGAACGTTATTCTCTTTCCTGTTTTCTTTTTTTTTTCTTTCTATTGTAGACGAACATTCGTCGTCTGTTGCATCGAACCTCCCACTATCATCTTCATATGTACACTATGTGTTTAAAAACGAAAACATGAGGAAAACTATTCTTTCTTTAAAAATAGTATGTTTCTGTAACGGTCATTTTTTGTCTCTGTTATTTGTCTCTTCTATCTATTTTTGTTGCCTTTCTATCTATATGTTGAACACATACATCTTATTCTCATTCATGTATTATATTCGTTCTTCTATCCGCATCTGACTTAAGTCATATGAAACACAGAAGCAAGAGATAATAATATTCCAATGAGGCTGAAAGCAGAAAATAAAGACATAGCTATATTTAGAATTATGATTTCATATCTTAGTGAGAAATACAAATAATTAGTATGGTATAAATCATCGTTTTGAACTCATTTTGATTTCAAAAAAATTGTTGGAGATTTTTTCGCTTGAGACCAACTTGTTTACAACGAATGATTTATTATGGACAATTATGAAAAGTTCAGTTTTTCTTTATGAGTGCATATCATCGAATTTACTTCTTAAGGACAAGGCTATTTTTAAGCAAATAAAGAAAAGTTTCAAAATTCTCATGAAATATATTTATTCAAAGCGGTATCAAAAAACTTTCTAAAAGTATGATAATGTCAAGGATGTTGGTGCGTGTAGCTTTTCTCTTCAACTACACCCATATTTATAACTCGCACCCACAATCTGTTTGACACTTTAGGGTCCTCTATCAATTGAATGAAGAAAAGTCATGAAGAGAGTCGAGATATCTGATTTTTCACAGAACTATTTTCTCTATCAAATAGAACCATTTGCAAAAAACATCAAATATAATGCTAGAAAACTAGTTTTGAAGGTTTTGGTTTTTCCAGACATCTTCATCCAAGCAGTTTTATTGAAGTTTTCAGATCGACAAATTCTGATAGAGAATGCTTTCAGCTACTCAAATATATTTTTCAGATTCTTGTTATCTATTGCTAACGAGAAGTAAATTTAAAAAATTACATCTGTTCTAAGCTTTATTCCATGATTATATATATATATATATGTATATAAGATGTCTCAAGTCCTAAAAGGTTTATTAACTACAGAGACTATACCATAAAAACTGCACTTGTTCAATGGCGAATACATTTATTAACTAAGGAAAAGAGCATATACCCATTTAGAATTATATTATTTTTGAGTGAGCAAATATTTTATTTTATCTAGTAACAACTATTCTAAATATTAATGAGTTCTATAGATTCAATTTCTTTTCACGTATTAACAACTACTTAGAAAATATCTTCATATATTATTTATTCATGAAAAATATAATATCTAAATCATTTAAATAATTATCTGTTTGTTTATAAGACAACATATATCTGTCACTGTTTGTCACATATGAAAGAAGTATGAGAATATTCAAAGTTTTTTTTTATATTTGGTTATGTCTTACTCAAAAATTTTTAAGCTTCTAATTCTATAAATATTAAAGAAAAAATTATCATTCAATTAAAGTTTTATACATATTGTGTCAATAATTAAGCATCGTATTCACTTGTCGAGCAATCAAAAGTCATCACATATGAAAGACGGTCAAACGAATAGAACTCGTTTGTTGGGACTCGGAAAATCATTTGAATTTTTCTTTTCTTCAAATAATTACTTGTTTGATTATTTTCATCTTTGATTATTTTATGCTTCTTAATCGATACATGTTTCCTTTTGGAAAGTTCTTTTGCTGGGATAACATGTTTTTGTTCATCCTTACATTTTTTTCGAATGATAATATATAGAAGAATTGCCCAGAGACCTTCAAGTCCATTACAAATAATAAAAATCCATGATAAAATATGACCTGCTGTATTACCCGAAACAAGTATTAACGGACCAGTTAGCCAACCAATCCCTTGACTTAGACTCGAATGAATTAATATTAAAACACATTTTTTCATTCGTGAATAAGATGGATGCCGTGTAGTGGTATTTCGTACATGATAAACCATACGTTTAACAATGAGAACAAGTATAATTAAATTAAATAGAAGAAAAATACAAACAGGTATTGTCAGAAAATAATGGATAGCAGATCGTTTAAACCAACAAATTAGATTTGCGTGTAAATAAATAATATGAAATGAAGGATTTGAATTAAAACCAATAACAAAAAGAACAGCTATAATCGAAAATATCAATGAACCAATTAATAAAATATAAAGATTTTTAAATGATGGTGGTGGAAATAGACGAACAAACTGAATATAATTGAAATAACCAATACTTGTTTTTGTGCAGAACATGAGCATTAAAAAGAAATAGACAATAAACATTAAGATTGTAGCACTAGTAAAACATTTGTCTTCCTTAGACGGTTGTGTTATTGTATGAACAGTTAAAGCAAGTGCAATATAGAAAATAAAAAGAAGAACAGTACTTGCATTTGACACTAATGGAAGTAAATCGATTGGTTTAAGTTTTACGTTTGGATATTTGACACGAGTGACAATATCAAAAATGATTAAAGCTAAAAAACAGACGATGGAAATCGATTGAAATACAAGAGAAGCAATATCTTCAGCTAAAAATCCAGAATCACGACTACGTGGAGGCAACCAGAGAAGAGCAAATGAACTTGAATGATTGCAACTACATTCATATCGATCGAAAGTTGTATTATAATGTGGTTTAGTACAACCTGTTTCATCCCATGATGATGTATTTGTATCGTAATATACACAAACAAAGTTATTATTCGAAGTATTTTCTACACTATGATTATTTTTCTTAAAATATAATGACCTGTTTGTTCGTTCGGATTCATTATTTTTGTACCATAGATTAGCTACAATTACTGATGATACAACTGTACCATTGCGTGAATCATTTAATTGACGATAATCCTTGGGATCATCAATCAACAATAAGTTGAGATATGTAACATTAATCAACGAACTCGCTCGAAAAATTGCTGCAGCTGAAAAGTTTGTGTTAAGTATTCCATTAACATTCGAATCATTTATATAGTTACCGCCAACTCCCATTTTAAACCAAGCACCAACCACAATATCATTACTTTGATGCAGTAGTGCTGACATTATAAATGATGTACTTGCATTAATTGCAATATTATCCTTAAGACATTTAACTTTGGCATCGATTTCTTCCGGTGACAAGCTTCGATTTGAAGTTAATGAGAAGTTTGAACGAGCAATTGATGCATAATATATTGTTAGCATCATTGCCAAATTGGTCGCGTTATTACAGCTATCATTTTGGCGAATGGCGTCAACCACCTGTGTCTATAACAATTATAAAAAATAAAAAGAGACCTGAGACAGATTTTTATATCGTACTTGTACTTCATTGATTAGCGTACAAGTTTGATTAAACTCTAATAGAGAAGAGTTATTGCAAGATGTTGAGTTATAAGAGGAAACTTGTATTGAAGGAACAGGAGTACTTGTAGTTGTATTGGCGTTAGTGTGCGGCGAAGTCGAAGATGTGCTCGTCGGAGCTAAAGAAGAAGAGAAGAAATTAACGATATTTGTTTCGGTCGGCATTGACGCTGCTAAAATAACACAAGAAATTCAGACAACAACGTTTACTTTTCAGTGTTGATTTTTGTCGATCACTTTTTGTAGCGTAGAATTTTAGTATTGTTCTTATAATCATGATTAAAAATTAAACTCTCGTTATTGATAAATACAATAAGAAATGAGAAACTTCTGAATGAATATTTCCATTTCTGATTGTTTATCTAATGTAATAGAATCCTAGGCAAAAGTCTTCTTCCTGCTTACTTTCTTTTTAAACAAATTTTAATATTTGCTTTCTATTTATTATCCAACTAATGTATCACATACATTCACTTCTAGAGTGTAGTATATTCTTATGTAAGGCTTTAAACATCCCACGTTCTCGATCATCTCACTACGAAATAATGTTTTTCAAGCTGCATCCACCATGCCTTAAAATATCAAGTGAAGTTATTTCGAAGTGTATTGAGTGTGAACCAAAAGCCGTACGACATTGACTTACGAGATGACAACAAAATAAAGACCTGTCTAATTGTCCAAGAAATGACCAATCACGTGTCACGCCGAAGAAAACTGATATGAAGATTGTTAATATTACCAAACATAAGCTAAACATTACGTCAAACGATATTTTGAAAATTCTAAAAGGGATGATATGGATATAGATTCAAATACTATTAAACGTTGATTCTATGAGAAACTTGACAATATCAAAATTTCAATTGGAACAACGTGGTTTTTTCCAATAAAAAGACATTCAAATTTAGTGTCAACGAAAAAACGTTCGAAGTTTTCCAGATGTTATCAAGATTGTTTGCATAGTTAAATACCCTCTCATGTTATACGTCAGGAGATATGTCTCAGAATAAGATTTCGGACAATCAATTGCTGTTTAACACAATTTGTCAGAAGATTTTATGAGCAACATATAATTTATGAGGATGGTCTTTTGCCTAGAGCTAATTTTCAATTTGCTGAACGTCCGGCTAGCTGGATTCTACAAGAGAACAATGATCCTAAACACAAATTTCGTCTGGCAATCGATTTCAGATCTTAACTTGGTCCTCTTCATCACCAGATCAAAACCCGAAAGGGAATGCTTGGTCGATGATGAAGAAAATAGTAAATCAAAAAAAAGAGATTCAAACAAGTCAACAGTTGGAATAAAAGAATAAGAAAGGCATGGACAACTTTGTCAATTGACTTGACTGTCCACTTGGTTGATAGTATGAAAAGATAAGCATAGTGTTCGACTGATGTTAATGGTGACTATACATTATATTAAAATGAAATAGATTTGTTATAGTTTCATTCGATAAAAAACAAAGAAAGCAAATATTCAAAATTTTTAAACTCTAGAAAAGGGAAAGACTTTTGTTCAGGAGTGTATATTATAAAGTTTGCTTGAATACAATGATCAGCATGATCGATTTAGTTATCTATAAATAATCAGCCTATTATACAACAAAAGATCTTCATGAAAACAAAAACAATTTTTTTTTAACAAGAAAATCGAATAGTACTCTTATCTAATCAGAGAACAAGCTCGTTTTTTACCTGATGAAGATGGTAATACCATAGCAGGAGTAGAAAAATAAGTACAAAAGCATTCATAACGACCAAGGATAGAATTTTTTGTCGGTGAACTACAGTTGGTGTTACTCCAAGTTGAACTATTTGTATCGTAATATGCACAAGAAAAGTTACCGATATTGACATTTGGTACATTCTCATGTTGAAAATATAATGAAATATTCATCAATTTGGATAAAGAATTATTGCGTTCCACTTCAGCTACAATTACAGATGAAACAATTTTTTTCTCTGGTGAGTCAGTAGAGCTTTGATAATCGTAAGGCTTGTTTATCAACAACATTTTCAGCATAGTAGTATCATTTAATGAATCATGACTAAAAATAGCTGCAGCCGAAATATTTGAGTTAATAACATTAACTTCATTAGAGTTAGAAATAGTTTGACTCTGATAATTGTGTTGAAATGAAGCGCCTAGCATACTATTATTGTTGCTTTTATCTATGAACTGTGCTACTAAATGTGATTTCTCTGCCACTACTGTAGTATTACTGTCAAGACGACGAACATTATTTTCTACTTCAGACGGCGTTAAAATATTCCCTGCGTTTGAAGATAGCATAGGATCCATCATCGATGCATAATATATCGTTAACAATTGAGCTACACTGGTTGCAGTCAGATCTGTTGCATTTCGCAAACGATTTACTGCTGCATTCTACAATATAAATTTACATCAAGAATAATAAATCTAACATATATCTTACTTGTGCAACGATTCGCAACGTGCAGTTACAATCAGTCCACGGTATTAACGATACGTTACTGCAAAATGTGCTATTATATGTTACGCTAATAGTCGACGAAAAACAATTAGTTTCAATAGGTGTCATGGTAGGATTCAAACTTGTAACTTTACTAGTTTCTTCAGTCGTAAATAAACTCGTAGTTAAGGAGATACCAAAAGTTTCTCCAATGGAAATTGTTGAACCTCTAAAATAATCAGTTGAATCAGTTGTTGTGTCTGTTGAATTCACTGAAACATCACTACCAGTCAATATAACAGTAGTGCCATCGATTTCAGTGCTTGTTTCTTTCGCTGTAGTAAGGGTTGAGATTGATTCCGAATTATTTATAGGATAGGTAGTAGTGACTGTTTCATGTGTAAAAAGTGAGGTTGTCTCCCCAGTCATTGTTGCTAAGCTTAATGAGCTCTGACTGCTCGTAACAATAGATACTTCATCTCGAAAAATTGTAGTTCGTTCTTGTTCTGTGAAAATTGTACTTAATGCAGTACCGGTCGACCATTCAACCGTTGTTTCATTGGAAACATTTATAATGGTAATGGATATTGTTTCACTTGCACCTGAAATGACGTCAGTTACAGTTTCAAACATGGTTTGATCTGTGTAGAATGAAGTCTGCGTGGGTTTGGTTACTGTTAATGTTATACTACTTTCACTACTAAATTCAGTAGTAGCTTGATCAATAATCGTTGTATTTAGTCCAGTTATGGTTTCTGCTGGGATCGATGTACGATAACTAGTGGTTGCAATGGTACCGTCGTCTGTAACATATGTATTTTGTTCAGATGTGTATTCTGGTAATGTTGATGTAATTTCAGAAGTGGTTACGATGGTAGTTTCCTCTGTAAGACTTGTACTTTCTTCAGATGTGTCCTGTAACGAGGTTGATGCGATTTCAGCAGTGGTCGGAACGGTAGTTTTCTCTGTAACACTTGTACGTCGCTCAGATGTGTCTTCTGGTAATGTTGGTGTAACTTCAGCAGTGGTTACGATAGTAGTTTCCTCTGTAACACTTGTGCTTCGTTCAGATGTGTTTTCTGGTAATGTCGACACGATTTCTCTGGTGGTTGTGATAGTACCTTCATCTGTAACACTTGTACTTCGTTCAGATGTGTCTTCTGGTAACATTGATGTAACTTCAGAAGTGGTTACGATGGTCGTTATTTCTGTAATACTTGTACTTCCTTCAGATGTGTCTTGTAACGAGGTTGATGCGATTTCAGCAGTGGTTAGAACGGTAGTTTTCTCTGTAACACTTGTGGTTCCTTCAGATGTGTGTTCTGGTAATGACGTTGATGTAGTTTCAGCAGTGGTTAATGTTGTGAAACCAGTGTTCGTTTTAACACTAGTTCCAACTACTAGTGTTGTGACATCCTCTGCAGTTGTCTTTTCTGATGTTGATTCGATGTAACGTATATATTCAGTAGTTGTTTCATCTGGAAAAATCGTAGTTTTCTCAAGTGTATTTACCGACGAGATTGATGTCCGATGAGTAATAAAGCAAAACATAATCAGTTATTATGTTGAGAAAATATGTTTTTGAATGGCAAGAAATTTTATGGTATTCATTTGGTGAATCAAAGTATGATGAATATAATCAAACAAAAAGTACACGTCATAAAACGTATTAGTTCATCTATATATTTTGTACCTTTTCATTTTTTATAACTGAATGCTATCATGTTTTTCGGATAAACGTGGAAAATCTTAAAAAAGATAGAAAAGCTCCTTGCTCTTTTATATTTATGTCGTTATTCTTAGGTGAAGGGGAGGAATGAATAGAGAGTGAAGAAAAAAATCACTTGCTAGAATAAGATATATCTAATTGTACTTGCTAGAAAGTGTGTGCGTAGTTTTTTTTAAATGAGTCGTTATAGTCATGTCCTAATAGCCGACCATGGATGTTTGTTGAGTTTCAGTATTTCTCGTCTACATATTGAATCAATTTTCAGTTTCAACTTACGGAAAATAAATGCTACACTGATCGATAGAAGATCGCAGCTAAATTGTCATCAAGTCAACTTTCGACTCTAGACTTGATGTGTTAGACTTGGATTTTATGTTACTCGCTACATATGTTCATTCGTATTAGATATTGACACACTACACTAATGTAATAGATATATATGAATGTTTATGTAAACTGTTCGGTCACGCTATTAAAAGACTATTATCAAATATGTATGTAATTGTACTGAAAGATGATGTTGGATTGATGACGATTGATAAAATCAGGAAAATAAATATGAATCAAAATAACTCTCTTGGATGTACTACTTCTTTAGCATTAAAGATACAAAAAATGGAAACGCTCTTATTGCCAGAAACGCAGCAGACTTTTACTTGGCAAAACTGCATGTTAAGTATAAAATAATATGATTATCATTTTCTAAATTTTTTACATTAATGTTTGATTCTCATTACTGTTAATCTGATTGGACAAAGTTGACTTAGTCAGCTTACCTAAACTCATGCAATCAACTTATATAGCAATGTCGATAGTTTACAAAAATGCATTTTTCATTTACTTACTCATAATTTTTCTTGACGAAGTCAATGCTATAGAAACAAAAAGCATGTTAGAAATGCTGAAAATCAATATTTATCCTAAGTTTTTATTTTTTTCTGTTTTTTGTTTTCTATTAACAAACATACCTTTCACGAAAATATTTCAGATAATCTACAGATACTTGTATTAGATCACGTAATAATGATAAAAGCTGCAAAGTTTTATCGCTTCTCAAGAAACTTCTTTGTTTTGGTAAAGTTAACACATTGATAAATATAAATGCATCACGAAAATACCGTATAACTAATTTTTTTAGCCAAAAATGAATTATTTTTTATGTCAAACAGTAGGGATCTATTGTAGTGGGCATAAGTTCAAAGCAATTATGGAGGATGGATCAAAAGTAACCGGACAGTTTTTGATTGTAAAAAATTGTTGATAGGAAAAGATAGAGAGCTGCGGTTTTCAGCGATTGAAAGAGAAGATGAAGACGCATAGGACATTATAATATATATTGGTTTGAATTGGTTTTTTCAAGAACATAAACCGATGTTTTTGAAAATCAACATACTCTGTAGGAAGAGTATACTGGAATTTTTATCATTTGGTGTGCATGTGAACCGTTACTGGAAAACGTACAAAACTACGCAAAGCTCAGACTTTGAGACTTATCCCTTCAGAAGTTACAGATATTCCACTAGGAATTCTGAGTCGATTTCTCTATTAACATCTGTGAAAAAGATCACTTTTGTGCGTTTTTCTCATTTTATAGGAGACGTTTTTTCCGGCAGTATTCTTAGGAAATTAATTCAGGAAACATTTTAGTAGAACCTATAGTATAAAATTCAATGCGTTTTTATTTCTTCTCTCCAACGGTGAAAATCGTAGCTCTCTATCTTGTTCCTATCGAGAGTTATTCGAAATCTAAGACTGCCCAGTGACTTTTGGCCCACCCTGTAACTTAACAGGTGGAATAAAGAAGACGACGATAAACTTTTTGAATTTCTATTAGTTCTTTGCAGAACATATTTTTAAAAACTGAAACATTACCTATTGAAGTCAATTCGATAGTAGTAATTTCCATTGACAAAAAACCTACTAGGGATATTTGAACTTTTTCGAACTATTCAAAAATCTGAGACTACGAAAATATTGATAAAGATATTTAAATATAAATATATATATGTATATTTACGTGTGGTCGTTTGAACATCACTACTGATTGATGAACTATGATTTTGCAAAGATGATATCGTATTCGTTGACATGGCACTTGATATAAGCGTAGTCGATTCATATGTAGAATGCTTTGTAGATAAAGAAGGATCAATTGTAAATAGAAGAGCAAATGTAGTTAAATGATTGCAACTACATTCATAACGATTGAATAAAGAATTGTAAATAGGTAAAGTACAACCTGATTCATCCCAATTTGCAGTACTTGTATTATAATATGAACAAGTCAAGTTGCCAATCGATACAGTATCACTTGATGTATTGTATTCAAATTGTTTAGTGAAATACAATGAAATGTTCATTCGATTAGAAAAAGAAGAGCTATTTCGTTGAATTTTTGCTACAATCACTGATGAAACAAGTTTCTTATTCGTAAAACTCGTTAAATGATGATAATAGGTAGGTTTATCAATGACTAACATACTAAGCTGAGTTACATCAATCAATGAATCAGGACTGATGACAGCTGCAGCAGAAAGTTTTGAGTTAATAATATTATTTTGATTCGAATTTTGAATAAGTTGACCACCAAAACCTGATTGAAATAAAACACCAACAATAATATTTTTGTTTTGATTTGATGATGTAGCCATTATAAATGAATGAGTTGTATTTATGATAATATTAGCATTTAGTTGGCCAACAATATCATCTATTTCAGTAAACGTCAAAGTTAAATTTAATGACAATGGAAAATTTTGATCCATTGTTAATTTGAGATAATTAATAAGAATATTAGCTAATTTAATGGCAGTTACGTCAGCTTGATGATGACGCAGAATATTAAATGTTTCTTTCTAAAATTATCACATGCATAAATATTTCGATGAATTTAGTTTTTATTAAATATCATTTTATACTTTTATATTTATATGTGAAATATTTGAATTTTTGATTAGTTTGATTGGAAATGAACCGTTAAAAGAGTTCGAGTGATTTGAAAATGAAATCTTCATTGCTGCACTAGGAAGTTTAAGCCTTTTTTTCAAAGTAATAAAAATCGATGGAACAATGGAAGTATACGTTAATGATTCTGTTTTATTTACAATGCCTTAAATATGACATTTATCGTAGAAAATTTTCCAAAATATTTTTACTCTTTTACCGTCAGTGATTGGAATAAAACGTAGTTTAGTGTTAATAATTAATATTCGGCTGAAATCAGTTTTATTTCTGACTATCGATGAGTTTTCAGTAAATAAACTTCTATCATCGTCATCTAAGAATAAATAAACTAGAATAAATAGTTGTTTTTTTTTAATAATAAAACAGTAATCATATTCTAAATATACTGTTGTATACTAAACATGCATATAGATAGCCTTTGTTTTCGTCATAATCTCATTTAACTGCAGCCAAATCTTAAAATAAATTTATTTTCTCACGTTGAAAACTGTTGATAGAAAACGCATTATTGGCGTTTCTCTTCATAGACTTCAGTGAAGAAGATGAATTTTTTTTGAAACCTATTGATTCTTGCATCGGAACAAATGATGCGTTCATGCTTTTTATTAAAGAACGCCCCATAGGTATTGCTTGATAGTCTGATCGAATCATCGATAATGATGTACGACAAAATGAAATATTTAATCGAGTTGATTTTTTTTGTTTTGCTAAACAAGAATAAAATAAAATTTCGTTTATAATTTTATTATTCAAAAAAATATGATGTTCTTACATATAATCATTGTAAAATCATAAAAGGTTACTGTACTTTTCGATAATTGTTGAAGGTTATGTATAAGAACATTATGTTGTACGAAATTAAGATCGTTTTTAATCAATTTTATCGTAGTTATGTTTTTCTTCGATATGTAATGGTCGTACAAATTCGTAAAGGAAACCTTTTCATTCGATTGAAATAATATTGTGTAATAAAAAATGATGAGATATAATCTCCATATTTTGTTTTGAAGATTTTCCATCTCGAAGAAGTCAATCATTTAAGAATATATTACATTTAACTGCAGACTATTACCCCACAAAATTGTCAAATATGTAGCACGATTTGTGATTGAAATCTGATTCTCTTTTTTTTTGAATATATAGCTCAATAAAAACTTTTTCTGGCTGATTAAAAGGTAATTTTTAAAAGACAACACAAAAACCGTCACGTCTACTCTTTTATACGTCTGTATCAAATAGATGTCAAAGAAGGACGTAACACTACACTTTTTGACAAAATTGTCAATATTCTTTATTATTGGTATATGAGACTAATCAACCTTATTGAAACTATTCTTATCAGACTCCTGTTTTGCTGGATTAGTCGGACAAAATTCTTTTTAAATATATTTCAGTCAAGTTTCTTGCTTGGAAAAAAACATAGATTTTGACTTTTCGATAAGAGTCATACAGATCGAGTCTCATCTAATGAGTAAATACATGTGTCGTCAGGCAAGATTGTTTTGATTTTTGCCCGATTTTTGTCATTTAGAGCTAGCCTTTGCTACGGATCAACAAGCAAGTTTCTTTTCATTGCTATTTTATTGTTACTTGAAGCTTTTAACAAAATAAAAAAACAACCACAACGCAGTTACATCTAATTTCATACAAGTTAGAAGAAAACAAAAATTTTGAAGTTATATAATAAATCCAACATGTGTATCTACAAGAAAAAAAGAAGAAAAGATAATTGAAATTGTCGATTCATATTAAAGTAGTGATCAATTATTATAATTCATCTTGTTCATATTTATCACCCGATAACAATAAGTATTTCGCTCATCGACGTCCGCTATTTTTGATAATATTATTTGACAAAAGTTTGTAAAACTGATTACAATTCGAGTCACTAATGAAGCAACATATATGGTTTTTATTCTATTCAATATCTGCATTCACTTGATGTTGATATGCAATTAATACATGATTCGAATAGAATGTTTATTTTGTTCACTAAATTGAACATAATTAATTATTAACTGTTGTCATGTACAAATGAATAAATAACATTCAGATGCTTATATCGATACCTTTGTATATATATAGATATCATATGACAATTGTGTTGAAGGTCAAACAAGACTATTGTCTTATCGATTAAGAAAGCCAAAAATACGTCAAAGAATGTCAATTGATCGAGTAATTAAGAACATTCTCTTCATAGTATGAAATGATCAAAAGTGTTTGACAATATATATTCTGTTAATGTTGTTGTATAATTATGTTCAGTTTCTTTGAATCAGTACATTTTATAGGATTGAAAAAGTTATAGAATAATCTTCTGAATTTGACTTCTCTTCACTTTTACTCTTCAGTTCACATATCACATAGTTATCACAAAAAATAATTTTTAGAAAAATATATTTTTAATATATCTTATGTCAGATACATAATGGGCAAATTACGACACAATTTTTTATCTTAATCATCAGTATTGAATGGAAGGTAGATCAATTTTCAAAGGAATGATAAATAAAGTTCGCGACGATTTTTATTTTGGTGTAAGTAGGCGACGGCTCAAAAAGACTCTAAGCCTTTCTTTTTCTCTTATCAACCGTTGAATTCCGTTGAAAATAAGACTTGAGTATCCTTTGGAAGTGTTATCGAAGGTCTTCGCCTTCTTTTATACACACGGTGAGGAAGCTAAGTCTATTCATTTTACAAGTTTTTCTGAGTATTTCACTATGTTATATAAGAAACTATTATTATTCGATCAAATAGTTAGTGATCTATAATGATAACATAGTGAAAAAGAAAACTCCATATTTCCTCATTTCTCAGTGTATTTCACCACATCAACTATTTCTAAAATCACGTATTTTTTCAATCTCACATTTTCATGCTCTGACATCATGATCAAGAAGTCACATTAATAAATTTTTATCATGCATTTTTGTTTTGTGAGATGTGGATCATACATCTAGATGTCTATAGGTATGCAATACTATTCAATCCGTCGAATGTTAATGATGAGTTTTGAAAATGTTTACAAAAGTACACAATAACATTGTTGTAGTACATTAGCAATCGTTTGCTTTCAAGAAAACCCTGCATATTTGGTGTAGAAAGAATAAATATAAAAAATTTTTAAAAGAGTGGACAAGTGCTTATAACACTATCATATTCTTATTAAAAACTTTCAGTTGTGATCAAATTATCATATTTTAAGAAAGTAACCGATCTGTCAATAAGACATGAACCTGATATTTCGATAAAAATCAAATATCAACAAATGATATTTGGATGAATGTGAGTTAATAATTGTCATGGTTTTAATATTAGAACATATTTCTCCAACACAGTTGCTTTAACGAGGATTAATGAATTGAGATTGTTGGATCCAAGATTTTCGGACTCGGACTTTATCAGAACCCGAACCAACTAAATGGATTCTATCAATTATGTCAACAGGTTTTTTTGACTTGTTTCACATAAATTTCTCTTAATTGATTGAATCTTGAGTTAAGGTGTAGTGAAATATCATGCTTGTTTGCTGATCCAAAGCTGAGACAAATCGAGTTGAATATTTTATATTCTTTTTCGCACTATGTAGATCCGTCACAAGAATTTTTTTCTCACTTTTTGGCTGAAAATTATTCAACAAACATCATCAACGTCATATACTAGTTACATATTTATGTAATAATGTCATGATATCCTAGACAGAATAATGTGATTTTTAAAAACCTTGAATATTGAATGTCATGCGAATTATCGCAAACTTCGTAAATATTTATTACTGACAGATCAATTACAAAGATATCTAGTCTGTCGTACATTGTTTCAAAAGATCTGAAGTATACTTTCGATACTTCTTTTCTATCTGGTTCATACTAAGTTACTAGTTGACATCGAAGTACTCTTTCTGAAATAGCATTTTTTTTTCTATGTAGATTTTAGCTCTTTATTAAATATTAGTAGTTGATAGAAAAAGAAGGAACATGCAAAATCACCGAGGAAACAAAACTATTGATTACATTGACGAGAGGAACGTCTTCAATTGTGACTAGCCAATGGAACTGATCTTTGTCCATAAGTAGATCTCGTAAGCTTTAGAATTCTGTGAAAATTTCAGCGTAAAAGAACATATTCTTCTTGAAATATTCAATACCGAAAAGCAGTCATGTATCAGAAGAAAAGCTAAGAAAAATCAGTGTTTTCAATATTTGACATTTCAAGTAGGCATGGGCGATTCCAATTCGGAAAAAAAAATTATCTTTGCCGATTTCGATAGGTTTCTCAAGAAAGTAAATCCAGTTCCAAGTTATTAAAATATTGAACTTTAAGAAGTATTTGAAAAAAAGTTTTCTTCTCAAGAAAAGATACCCTGCGACCAAAGAATGTATAGAGGATGGCCAAAAAGTCATTTATTAAAAAGAAACTTACATTTCTCTATGATGGTTTTATTGAATGAATTAATTTGTTTACTGATAATGCAAGGTTCTTTTAAGTTTTTATTCTTAATTACAAACCTATCAAACACTCCTAAAAAGTAGTATGCTTAAATTTTTTTGCTTTAGCTTGCAAAAAATAGCATGTAGGACATTTTCTTGTGCTCTTTGAATTTCGTTTCATTATATCGAGCCTTCAATAATTCATACCCATTTCTCCTTGTAAAAATTTCTTCAACACGTCTGAAAAATCAAGAATAAGTGGTATATGTCTTCAAAACAATTTTCTTATCCTTTAACAAAAACTTTCATGAAATGTAAACTGAGTAAAAGGACGTGACTTCGAATTTTTAGGATCGCTAGACTTGGAA